TTGAGCACCTGAAATGTGGCGAGTCCAAATTGAAATCTGCTGTTAAGTATAAAATACACACCGAAATTCAAAGTATGAAAAAAAAAATCAATACTTTTCAATATTAGTTAATATTTTGGATATAATGGGTTAAATAAAATATATTACTAAAGACAATATTATCTTTCTTTTACTTTTGTAATGTGGTTTCTAGAAAATTCAAAATTACATAGGTGGCTTACATCCTATTTCTACTGGACAACACTGATTTAGTGCTTTTTGCTTCCCGTAAGGCATCAGAATATGTAAAGAAAACTGACTTATATCTTCTCCAATGATTTTTGCTCAGATATCATAAGAATAGGAGCTTACAACCAGCAGAATCGAATTTGTGCACAGTACTTTTTATATTCAAATTATTTCTTACCTAAGCAGCCTAGGACTCTACTGGTTTATGCTGTTCCAGTTCAAGCTTGGATGACTTTACAGCTGTCTGTCTTGCATTCTCAAAGCTGTCCTTCACAGGGCAGCCCTTTAAGCCTGTGATCCCACTCACCCTTCTGCATCTCATCAGTTAGCTGGACTTCCCAGGCGGAATTAGCTGTGAAGCCCTCTGGGCTCCTTCCTCAGACTCTCAGACTGTGTGTAACTTACGCTAAGGCTATGAAGTTCCAGATGGCAAGCCCCTAGTCTTGGTCTCATTTCTACCCCACAGCAACTAAAATTGCTTTTTGCATAAAAGTAAATGCATGTGACAAATGCTGGTTACATATGAGTATTTGAAGATTTAGGGAAAAGGAAGAATTTTTCCTCCTACTCTTTGTATTAGAGAAGTTTTACATTAGCCACTTTATATTTTATATAGACTTACTTCCAAATAAGGTCACACTCCTTAGAACTTTAGTTCCAGATGGACCTGAATTTGGGGAACACACTATCCAACCCACCACACCTACCTAACAACAGAGCACTGTTCCATTACACTGAGGAAAACTGATGAGCTCCCACTGAGAATTTGTGTTACAATGAATTTTTAGTCTTTTTTCATACTATAAATTCAGTTCTTTTTATTTTAGATGGAGGAAAAAAATAACCATTTTTCCTCCATCTAAAATAAAAAAGAAGTGGTACATTAGCCACTGACAGTCAACTGTGCTTCATAATTCATTTATTCCAATATTCAAGTGGCTACTGGCTGCCTGGAGCTGAGCTGGAGGCGGGGATGTAGTGGTGCGTAAGAGATGCAGCACTGAACTCACAGGGGAGGAGAAACAAAACTGCAAGCATGGCATGCGCTCCCCTGAAAAGCTGCTGGGATTACGAGAGGGACAGTGACAGGGGAACCTAATGTGGCTGCAGCTAAGGAAGGCTAATAAGTCTTTACACTGGTCCCGAGGGAGCTCTTAGCCTAGCACAGTGGTGGGGAAAGGGCAGGCTGACCATGCTGGAAGGGCCCCTTAAGCCATGTTAAAAAGGAAAGTTAATCCTAATGGCATGAAAAACCATGGAAGAGTTTTATATAATGTGATCAAATTTGCTTTTTAAAAATATCATTTTGGAGATGAGCCAGAGTGGATGTAGGACCTTCACAGAGCACAGTCATATATTCTTAAAAGCTAAACAAAATCACTTTGGTCATCATTTCAACAGGAACTGAGTTTTCAGAATGGAAAAGATGTGTAAGCTCCACGCCCCCCAAGATGTGAAAGCCAGCAAGCACCCACAGCAGTAATCTAATACAGGTGTACTCCCAGAGTACCCTCAAAGCATCGCATTCCACTGATTCCGTGCCATGTAAATTTGTTACCTGGCATCAGGCACTGTCCTGACCAAGCCACATCTTGCTTATTCACAACCAGCATCCAGTATCCACTCTGGATGGCCCAACTCTAGCGTTCCCTGAAAGGCTGAGTGGGCAAAGTATTTAGCAAACTGCATGAGTTTGAAGATGTTCTTTCTGCTCTCCTGTGCCCAAGGACTGTCTCTCTGGGTGTTTGGCTAACTCTGAACTTGACCAGCTACCTGGCCTGGGCTCTTTGGCCAGTGTCTACTCTCAGGGAAAGAAGCTGGCAGAGGGATGAAATTATACCTGTCAATTAAATGCAGGTTGTTTAAATTCTGTGGAATGATTACACAAAATTTTATTTTCTTCTGGACTCTTTTGGGTAGTACTTATCCATGTATACATATGTGACCTGCCCATAAATAACTGCTTTTCTGAAACCAAGCTGGAATCACCTGTAATGGCCTTCATTGTTCTCCTTAGCGGCAGATGTCCATTCAATTCTCCAATAGTTATAAAACCATTATATTGGCAGCCAATTAGCACATTCAGTATATTATTAAAATAAGTCATTTCTAAACATTCAGATCTTCCTAATTACCTCTTCCTTTGATGTTTTTTATGAAAATAAAAATAAGACTCAATCCCACAATTTGTTTCCTTTCTGAATTCCTATTGTACCCACTCTGAAAGGGAAGGACCCTTTACAACTAAATGAAATGGAGCCTGTTCATATTCTTTTACCATTTTTGAATGGGTGGGTGAAGGGGAGGAAGGCAGCAAAACACACTGCCATGTGTGTACCTATGCAACTATCTTGCATGCTCTGCACATGTACCCCAAAACCTAAAATGCAGTTAAAAAAAAAAAAGAAATGGAGCCTACCCTTCTCAGAGGCAGGATCGAGCAATGTGAAGTGCAGAGACTTAGGAAGTAGTCAGACCTGAGTTCCAGTCCTGTCTTCAGCCCTTTCTAGGTGTATGAATGGGCAAGTTCCTTAAATTCCCTGACCTTTGTTTTTTCCTGAATAAAATGAGGCTGACCTACTGTATTGGTTTTCTAAGCTATCATTTCAAATGACCACAAACTGGGTAGCTTGAAACAAAATAACTAATTGCCTCATAGTTCAGGATGCTGGAAGTCTGAAATCAAGGTGTTGGCAAAGTTGATTCCCTCTGGAGGTTCTGAGAGAATCCTTTCTTATGTCTTCCAGCTTATGGTGGGAGCTCCCAGCATTTTTTGGCTCACAACAGGATAACTTCAACCTCTGCTCATTCTTCACATAACCTTCTTTTTTGTCTTTCTCTTGTGTCCTCTCATCTTCTCATAAGGACACCAGTCATTGGTTTTAGGGGCCACCTTAAATCTAGGAAGAGGACATCTTAAGATCCTACATCACTACTTACATCTGCAAAGACTTATTTCCAAATAAGGTCACATTCCTTAGAACTTTAGTTCCAGATGGACCTGAATTTGGGGAACACACTATTCAACGCACCACATCTACCTACAACAGAGCACAGTTCCATTACACTGAGGAAAACTGATGAGCTCCCACTGAGAATTTGTGTTACAATGAACTTTTAGTCTGTTTTCATACTATAAATTCTTCAATTGTTTGTATTTTATATGGAGAAAAATTGTTACTTTTAAAGATGAGATAGTTTCTCATATGCCTAGCACTGCACTGAAAATGCATCAGTGCTCGGTAAATACTATATTCCTCCTCCCATTCCCTTTATCTTAGCCCTACAACTGTGAGTTACAAGTGCAATCCATTTGAAAATCCCAGGAAATCATGGAGCACTTCAAGGTTCTATGCAAAGATAAAGACCAGAACTTCTTGCCCCTATATAATGATTTCTTATGGGGAAGCAGGGTGAGCAGTTCTCTTTCAGAAATTGACTTATGAGAGTTGTTTAAACACTAAGGAATAAATGTGCATCCAAGAGATCTTTGCATCTCTATGGAAAATAATGGTTAAAAAGAAGGTTTTGGGTAAATATTAGAATCTTGATTTTTGCTGTTCTTTATCTAATTTGCTAAGCATTTGAAAATGTATGTAGTCTACTGTCAGTTAAATTCCTGGTTCCTATAGCTTACCACATTTTCTTCCATATTTTCCTCTCTCACATAAGCTCATTTCTAATCTGTTTTATGAACAACAACAACAAGAGCAACAAAATCAGAAAAATATTTTTCCATATTTTGCTCATCCTCAACACAGTAGCTGTGCTGGTCATAGGTGAATAAGGATGGAAGGAAGCTGCAGTCAGCAGCAGGGGGTGTAGAGAGGGAGCCAGCACTTACTACTGCATACAGCCGCTTCCTCTCATCCCACACCTGCCCCTTTTCTTATCTCTAGCCCACTACTGCTCATCATCCAGACTCACTGGGGCTAAAGCAGTTTTCTGCATCATCCCCTCTAGGACCATAAAAGGCATGGAAACCCAACCTGAAACTTCCAAAGAAACTAGTGTCAAGATTAAGCGATCTCCCAAATATTCATGCATCTCACTTGAATACATCCAGCCTTGCTTCCAGTTTCCATGCCCTGTGGTTAGGAACTGACACACAGGAACAGTAATGAGGAGGTCTATGAAGTAGGCTGCTTTTCTTTGCTATACCTGATGACTACAGAGACTGGCCCAACTCTGCCTGGTCCTCTTATCAACATATAGCTCCATTATCTCTATTACCACTCCTTTCTCTTAGAGTACAAGTTAGCAGGAACAGATGCTGGTCTGTGATGTGCTTGCAGAAGAACAGGAATCAAGATAAATGCTCCGAAGACTTCAGTGATGTCCTATGAAGAAACCCTCTGTGTTTGTTGAAAACTATTCACCTCCCTACTTTTTTACATCTTCTGGGAATCGTTGTATCTGACTAAAAACTATCCTAATTTTCATCCTTAAGATCTCTTGAAAATTCAGGGTCAACTAATAACAGTTTAGAGCTACTCTGGGATTATGTGTCGCCCGAGTTGTTTGTGAACATTATTTGTGAAATACTCTGCAGTCAGATAAAATACCACAGATCTTCCAGTTACTTCAATGTGAGCTTTAAAAAGCCCTTCTCCCCAGTTAAAATGTGCTATCCGTGAAGTCAGTAACCTCTAAGGAAAGAGGACCGAGGAAGCAACACCAAAGGAAGAAACACACCAAACTTAAAATGTCTATCAAAAAGAGACTAACAATTACCTGGAGGGATCCTTTGAACACATAAGATGATTCCTTACCTGGATTGGGTTGAAGGTATTCAATTGTTTTAGTCATTATTTCCATCACAGCCCTGCTGGTGACATCCACTTTCTGAAATGAGAAAATAAGTACTCTAAATGATAAAAATGGCGAGCTTCAGAACCTGGGTTTTTGCTTGAGTCTGTATACAATGGCAGGGAATGCAACAGAGCCAGGACAAGTCCCACGGTAGGTGAGGGAGGCTGAGGTGGAGCTAGATGTCACACTAACGCTGTATTCGGCAGTGGTTGACCAATATGCGGAAAGCCTGTTTATTCAGAGAGGAAGATGGTAGTTTCCTAAAATTTGTTCCAAAATGCACTTCATTATCTTCTGGCAAAAATAAGATGAACAAAATGAAACATATTTTGCCCCAGAGGCATTTATTGGATGCCTACGGTGGGTCAGGCATGGAGGCAGATTTCGCTGCCCTCAAGAAAGAATAATGCAGCATCAACTCTGCTTATTCAAGAAGAGGGGAGGTTTTTATTTAACTTCTGAAAACATCCTAAAAATAGAAAATCTTAAGCAAAGACTTCTAGTGTGTCCTTGAACTTCTGGTTAATTCTAAACAAAAATCTTGGTGCTAGAGTCTATCCTCAAATAATGTGAAATAGTCAGTGTTTGCCTTCAGCATTTCACCATGCTCTCTCTGTTAGGCCCCCTCCCCACTTGGAAGAGGTCATGGAAGCTGCTCACTGAAGTTAGGTCCCCTCTATCTTTCTCCATGAAATCCTTTTCCTATCAGCATGTGTGGTCCTCCTATTCACCCTACACAGTAAATGACTAGTGAGAATAAATGCATCCTCCTGTTCAAGGTATGTGCATGTAATATGACATAGGTATGAATGAAAGTGATTATGTTTTAATGTAGAAATTTAGATAACAATTAAGTCCATCGGAGAAGCTTTCTGTTTGTTCAAAGGCTCCCCCTTCAAATATTAGAAACTTTTTCATAAAGCACTATATCTACCTATAATATTAGCCTTGCACAGAGTAACTCTCCTCCTGTTCCATAATCCACCCATTAAAAGATTTTATCTTTCAGTTCAGTTTTTTGATATTTAATAATTTCCCAATCCATGGCATTCATATTACTATGTGTGTTTGCTATTACTAGGATTAACAGGGGAAAACAAATTTTTTTCTTGTGATGTTATAACGATATAAAATTATCTTATAAGGACGCAATTTCAAATGTGCCTGTCTATATATAAATCTTATACCATATCCTTTTAATTGATCCAAATTTCTAAGATCTTTAAGATTGAGTGTGTACTAGGTAATAATTAGCTTTAATGTGAATAGTGCCCCATCTACTCAAGTTGTGGAATGTCTTATGCCAGGGATGGATCACAGGTGTGCATGGAACAAATATGCTGAAACTCCATGGTACGTGTATGATAGAAAGGCAAATGTAGATCTATTGCTGACTATGTGATGCGGATTAGAATTAGATGACAAATGTGCCCAATATCCTGTAGTTATGGTAAGAAGGAAAATCCTTCCAAAAAGCTTCTAAAGAAGAGTGCCAAAGGAATTAAATTTTCCAATGATCATTTGATATCCTGACGTCATCTGCTGTTAGGGGGCTGACCAATTTCTAAGTTTCCCCCATCTCTGTCCTTAATAATTATAACCATCATCATCATAAGCTGTTTTCTGTTTGTAAGAAACTGTTATAAGGACCATAGATATCTTTATACATTTAATGCTCATAAACTCTGTAATGGATATGAGAAAACAGACACAAAGGGTTAAGAAACTACCCCAGTTCTAGCTCCAGAGTGTATGTTTTTAGTAACCATCCTATACTAAAAAGGCAACAGAGGCATTTCCCAACCTGACAGAGATGCCAAGTCAAAGCTGGAATGTGTTTTGTACCTTCCCCCATATGGGACTAAGGACCTGGCAGTTGCTGGCCAAACAGGATCAGCGGAAAGGCACCTGCCATCCCCATATTCCATTTTTGTTTTGAAAACTCCTCAAAGTTTGTGGAAGCTTCATCCACAAGACTGTTCCATCCTGGGTCTCTCTGGAAGGGAGGCTCTGCCATGCTGACCTGCTGGACCACATGCCCTCAGTTGCACAGGTTTCCCTAGAGAGGCTGGTGCCGGCAGTGTCTATTTCACCTGGCCCACAGGGAGGTGAGCAAGGAAGGCTGTGAGAGTTAGTTCTCATCTAGCTACAGAACTCCCTTCCCTTTTAAGATCTGTGTAGGGAGCCCAACTACTCATGTTCTATAAACAGAATTCACTAGCTTGGCTAAAATCAGTGGTCTCAGGGAGGGCCCAGAGACCCTGGGAATACTAACATTAAATTATTACATTTGGTCCCCAGGGCAGAATTCTATCTTGAGAAAGAGATAGGAATAGAAACTATTCCAGTGCCTCCTGTGACTTGTCTAAAGAAAGAGCTCATCTCATCCAGATGTTAACCAATTTTGTGCCCATTGAGGGGGACTCCTTTAACACTTTTGGTTACCTAGTCCAGGTATCATTATAGAACAAGTTCTACCTAAACCCATTTGACTATGGCATAAAATAACCTTCACTTGAAATCCACCACCTCTGAAAAGAGCTTTATTCAATATAGTTACTTTTGTGTTTCATCATCAGGAAATATACCAAAGACGGACCCACTTTTGGCAAAATCCTGCCTAGGCCTTTGCTACTGACTGCTTTTTTTTCTCTCTTTTTGAGATAAGGTCTTACTCTGTCACACAGGCTGGAGTGCAGTGGTGTGATTTCAGCTCACTGAAACCTCCATCTCCCAGGTTCAAGTGACTCTCCCTCCTCAGCTTCACGAGTAGCTAGGACTACAGGCATGCACCACCATGTCCGGCTAATTTTTGTACTTTTTGGTAGAGACAGTTTTGCCATGTTGGCCATGCTGGTCTCAAACTCCTGGCCTCAGTCATCCGTCCACCTTGGCCCCTCAAAGTTCTGGGAGTACAGGCACAAGCCACTGCGCCAGGCATGACTGCAATCTCACAGATAATTACTTGATAGAGTTCATGGACATTAAGAGGAAGAGACCAGGGAAGCATTCCGTTTAATGCTTTTATTTATTAAATGTCTACATCTGTGGCCTAGAGAAGGGAAAGGAGCTCTTTGAGTGTTGTTATAGAAGAAAAGCAGTTCCCACGGTCATGAATCAGAGGCTTTCTTTTAAAAAGTGCCTGAAGAACTAAATTGCCCAACGATTAGTCACTATTTTGAAGTCATCTGCCAATAGGAGGCTGACCAATTTCTAACTTCTCTCCACCTCTGTCCTCAATAATAATGCCCAGGACTCTTGCTAAACTATACTATGCCAGCCAGAAGCAAGCTGAGGGCCATAACCCCATGAGACTTCTGAATGTGCCTTGTTATGTACTTGCTAGGGGAGGTATTTATATACCTAAACTGGCACTATCCAAGCACATATTTTGTTTATAACAGGCCTGATGAAATCAGCATAAAGAAGATTCCCACTTAAGTAATTTATTATAACCAGCAATTCTCATAAGCTCCCAGAACTGAGCTTATTCCCATTTGAGAATAGCAAAATTTAACTTGAACTTATGACATGTAACTGTTATTTTCTTCAACGTCCAAAATTTCCAATTACTACTTGAAAGTAAGTTTTGATGCATCCTAAATTATAAGAACTTCTCATCTTATAAGCTCCTGAGCCTCCATCTTCAACTAACCTTGCCTGGGATTGGGGTGAGGACCCATTAGGGAAGGCTGTTTAAAGAAAGTGAAACAGGCCGGGTGCAGTGGCTCATGCCTGTAATCGCAGCACTTTGGGAGGCTGAGGCAGGCGGATCACCTGAGGTCAAGAGTTCAAGACCAGCCTGGACAACATGGTGAACCCTCGTCTCTACTAAAAATAAATTAGCCAGGTGTAGTGGCGTGTGCCTATAGTCCCAGCTACTCAAGAGGCAGAAGCAAGAGAATCACTTGAACCTGGAAGGCAGCGGTTGCAGTGAGCCAAGATCACACCACTGCGCTATTGCACTCCAACCTGGATGAAAGAGTGAGACTCTGACTTAAAAAAAAAAAAAAAAAAAGGAAAAGAAAGAAAGTAAAACTGCAGCTGGGCACAGTGGCTCACGCCTGCAATCCCAGTGTCTTGGGAGGCCAAGGCAGTTGAATCACGAGGTCAGGAGTTTGAGACCAGCCTGGCCAACATGGTGAAACCCCATCTCTACTAAAAATACAAAAGTTAGCTGGGCACAGTGATGCACTCCTGTAATCCTAGCTACTTGAGAGGCTGAGTCAGGAGAATCACTTGAACCTGGGAAAGGGAGGTTGCAGTGAACTGAGATCACACCAGTGCAGTCCAGCCTGGGCAACAGAGCAAGACTTTGCCTCCAAAAACAAACAAACAAACAAACAAAATAAATAAAGTGAAACTGTAAATATATACAGATACAGATATGTCTTTCAGTTAATAAAACTTTTGTGTGAAATAAGGTTTATTCAGAAGACAAAATTGTAGGCATGTATGTTTTCTTCTGGGCTTTTTCCTTTAATTTCTCAATACCAAGATTTTAGCAATTCTTAATACTCTGAAGTCAAGAAGTTCTCGCTCCCCTGTCTAGTCTTATAATTTACAACTTTGGGTAGAGAGAAAAATAGCTCCTTTAGCATTTTTCACTCACTGTAACATTTTTCTTCTTCATGTTAAGTCTTGGGTTGGCAAGCTACATTTGGTTGGCCAAATTCAGGCCAATACTTGTTTCTGCTTTTTTAAATGGTTGAAAAAATTTGAAATGATGCTACTATTTTACTGCACAAAATAATTATTTAAATTTCAAATTCAAATTTCAGCATCCTTTAAGTTTTGTTAGAAAACAGCCACACTCATTTATTTAAATGTTGCCAATGGATGCTTTTGTTTAAAGAGCATTGGCAAGGAGTTGTAAGAGACCTCAGAGGCCCTCTGGCCCCAAAATCCTAAAGTACTTACAAAAAAATCTTGATCCCGTGCTAGGTGCTAGCTTCACTAATAATAATGCCATGCTCAATCTGTAGATGATACTAAGTATTTCACCAGCTGTCTCAGTCTTTAGAGATAACATACTAGAGAACATAAGGCATGGAACTGAACAGAATGGGGTTTCTCCTCAAGAGGCCTGTGAATATTATCTTCTTTCCGTGAAGAAAACAAAAGTTGGTGTTTCCTGAACTTAGGTGATAGGACTCGTGAAGAACATAGCATTATTTGTGGAGCAACAAAAGGACTGAAAGATGTGATTTCATAGTTTTAGATACCACATTATACTAGATGCTGTAGCAGAGCAGAGTTTAAAAAAACATAGACACCTTAAAGGGAGCACTGATAGTTTGTAAGTTTAGTGATCACCAATAAATACATGATTTAAGCCAGGCATGGTGGCCCATGTCTGTTACCCCAGTGCTTTGTGAGGCCAAGACAGGAGGATTGCTTAAGGCCAGGAGTTCAAGGCCAGCCTGGGAAAAACAGTGAGACTACATCTGTACAAAAGATTTTTAAATTAGCCACAGAGATACAACAAAAAAGAAAACTTCAGGCCAAGGTCCCTGATGAACACTGATGCAAAAATCCTCAATAAAATGCTGGCAATTCAAATCCAGAGGCATGTCAAAAAGCTTATCCACCATTGTCAAATAGGCTTTATCCCTGAAATGCAAGGTTGGTTCAACATATGCAAATCAATAAATATGATTCATCACATAAACAGAACTAAAGACAAAAACCAAATGATTCTCTCAATAGATGCAGAAAAGGCTTTCAATAAAATTCAACATCCATTCATGTTAAAAACTGCCAATGAACTAGCTTTGATAGCCAAAAGTTTTTCTTCCATTGAGCCAGCATCTATCTCCCCATGGTTTCTACTCATTAATTCTAGCTCTACCACTTGGGCTGGATAGAAGAATTGAATCCCTCTCCACCCAATAACTGAGTGTATGAAGACAATGACCATGGACATTTTCCTCTTGGCCTTTCTCCACACCCAACTCTGCCAATAATCCTCTCTTATTCTCATGTGGAATGGCATTCTTTTTTTTTTTTTTTGAGATGGAGTCTTGCTCTTGTTATCCAGGCTGGAGTGCAATGGCGCTATCTTGGCTCACTGCAACCTCCGCCTCCTGGGTTCAGGCAATTCTCCTGCCTCCGCCTCCTGAGTAGCTGGGATTACAGGCACGCGCCACCATGCCCAGCTAATTTTTTGTATTTTTAGTAGAGACGGGGTTTCACCATGTTGACCAGGATGGTCTCGATCTCTTGATCTCGTGATCCACCCACCTTGGCCTCCCAAAGTGCTGGGATTACAGGTGTGAGCCACCGCGCCCGGCCAATGGCATTCTTTCTCAACATTTTGCTCTTCTTAAAACTTGAGCTGCTCCTTAAAAAGAATCCCATTTTTATTAAAGGGCCTATAGATATGCTTCTATCCCTAGGACATCTTCTGGTTTCAACAGAAGAGATTTCCCAGGATACTTTTCAGGCTGCAAAAGAGATACCATTTTCCTTGGCTTAGAATTATGCATTAACCATATAATCAAGGACAAGATAAATGTTTAGGATTTAGCTCAGACACCCTCTCTCTTCTAGGCAGCCTAATATACCCAGCCTGAGTTAGGTCTTCCATGGGAATCCTCCCTAGGACACTAAGCACTATGTTCTGTAAAGTATTGATTCATGTATCTACTTTTTTAAAATCAAAACTAGAAGCCCCTTGAAGGTATGGACAGTGCCTTAACACGGAGGCGCTTTCCAAGTGAATTAATGAATGTAACTATACACACAACAAAAAAACTACACAATCATTGTAGCAACTGAGAGAAATTTGAGAAGGAATCAGAGGTTCTTCAAATTTCAGAACTTCCTCTTAACAAAAAAACCCTCTAACTTTTCAAAGAGCAAATCCTCCAGTGTGTGCAACGTAGTAAGACATTTAGCCTATGTTTAACAAAGCTTGTAAGTAACAGACAGCATTTTAAATGAAAACAGAAAGAATTCCATGCAAGGCACTTGAGAGAAATCATTATGGGCAGGGATCCTCCAGAGACAGCACAGCTGCAGGATTCCTGTCAACCAGCTCAGAGAGAGGAGGGCTGCAGAGCTAAGGGACACACAAGATGATTTTACTGCATCTCAGCCGGAGAGTGGCTGGGGTAGCTGATTAGAGAAACACCCCTAGGAAAACCCACTTCTCTCTCCCGGTAGTGTTGCTTGAAGCAAACCTCTAATTTATTTCATTTTGTTGTCTAATTCACCTCCGAGAATACAGATGAACAAAGGTCTCTCTATCCCAAATGCCTGATGAGCAGAAAACCAACTATGGAGAGGCAATTCTTCTGTCTGCTTGGGAACACTGAGCTAAAACAGTTGTGTGAATAATAAATTAATAGTAGAGAAAAGATTTGAGAGTCTAAATCCAAAGCAAGTGCTTTTCAATTACCACAGAAATCTTACACTATTCATGTAAATTTAGCATGAGTGGAGGGAACAAATATGCAATAAAGACACAGATGAAACAAAAGATATACAGAACTAAACAGAGTAAAACCATTTCCACACTGCACTGAAACCTAAATCTCTCAATTTACTCAGGTATAAACCCGAATAAAGAGCCATGAGTATGTTCTTCAATGAATCAGAAGTTTACTTTGTTGCAGGCATATCTGTATTTTGAAATAAAAGCTTCAGAAACATTTCTATAAATTAGGAGAAATAATCCTCATATCTTACTTTCAGACTCAAAAGAAGGTCTGTTGGTATTTGCCTGAAGTAAAATCCTTGCAGATTCTGTTTCAATTAGTTTGCAAAACTGGCATATACTTCTCACCAAAGTAAATCTCCAAAGGTCTAATTAGTTGCTCAGTGATAAATTCTACTCAGTTTTCCAAATTTCCTATTCTTTTTAGTCTCATTTAAGAAACAGAAAGTTACTTTGTCTCAGTTTAGATAATGAGCTGCCTAGCTTATTCCCTTTAGTCCCGGCAGATGCTAAAAGCAAGAGTCAAATTCTGACTCTCCATCAGTACTTAGTTCCAAATTCCTAAATACCTGCCTAATCTTTCATTAATTACATGACATTTAGCCAGTGACATACTATAAATGCTCTCCTGGGGTGCAGGGAAGAAGGAGCAGCAAAGGACAAGGAGGAATCAAGCAAGACTGGGTGAAGACAGACTGATTAATCCATGGGTTGCTCGAATGAAAGGCAAGGAACTCCAATTTTATGGGCAGTAGATGAGTCAAAGTCAAGACATTCTGGGAAGGTGTGTCAGTTCCTGGAGTCTCAGAGGCTACAGAAGATGGATGGGTAAAATACTGTTTCCAGAATGATGGATATCAGTGGCTACCAGCTTTGGTTGAAGATCAGGTGGTATTTACAACCACCCACAGATGAGAAATAGGAACCAATGCAGTCTTCGGTCCAACTGGAGCAGGTAGCTACCAGGCCTCAGCTGTAGGAATCTGGCTTTCCAGACTTCAGAAGGATGGTACTCAGAATTCCAAGAAAAAATCTCCTCACCAGTGGGTACCAATTAGTGAGGCCTACCTCAATAACTTAGCCAGAATGACCAGCTGGGTCAACACTATGCAGTCTCATTTCACAAGACCCAGCCTCTTGGCAATGTATCATTTTTTTGGGAACTCAACTGTTCCCTCTTGCCTGCTTGCATGCTGTTTCCTTTACAAGGCTCTGCTAACTCTTCCACATCTTCAACTTAACTATCAGTAAGGTTATCCCTGACAATGCAGATTGTGGAGGGGGGGCTTCTCTAGCACCATGAGTTTCCATCCTTGCCATATTGGTCATTACTTGTCCCAAGTTTGCCCTCCCCACTAGACAATGAACTTTGTACACTCAGGTACCTTGTCTATATCCTACCTCCTGGTTCGTGGAAGACAAAAAGGAAATATGTATTGAATTCATCAATAAACTCATCAGGAGGAAAAAAAAAGAAAGCACCAAGGTTTTTTCTTTTCCCCACACTACACTGATGTATACCTAGGAATTTTTTGTTTGACTCTTCACGCAAACATAGCAAAAACTGCTATAGGCTGTATTCTCTTCATTACAACTGGCTGTATTCTCTCCATTACAACTGGCTGCCTCTGGCCAATCATCCAATCAGGAAAGTCCTTAAAGCCAGAAAGTGACTTCAACTCTCCCCAAAACACTGGGGATGTCATTCTGCACCCTCTTTTCTTCCCATCTCACCCTAATTCAAACATCAGCTCAACACTGTCCTTATTTTTCTTTAAATGATGATGAAACTCACCAGGAAAAGTGCGTTGTGACCTTTCAACTTCATTGAGGTTTTGTTCTCAGGACAGTATAAAGGGAAGAGAGGCTATCTTACATTTTAAAATATACACAAAAAGAAGAGTATTTATTTTTCAATAACAAAATGCATTCTCAGAGACCAGTGGAAAACATTTGCCCCCACCCTTTTTCTATTTTTCTCTAATTATGGTAGACACTTTTATGTCAAAGGGAACACTAGGCAGTAGTGAACACTTACCCTTTCCATCTCTTTGAAGTCGTCATCTAGCTTTGTTCCTTCAGCTCCTCCAACCTTCTCACTCACTTTCTGTAGAAAACAACCATAAAGGAGAATTATTATAAACAGTTTCTTTAAAAATATGTGTTAGAAATTGTAAGCACTTTCACCAATATCTCTAATGTAATCTCACAACTATTCTCTGACTCAGGTGGAGAGTCTCATTTTTATAGCAGCAAACTGTGGCTCAGAGGGGCTGATCAACTTACCAACAACAGCTATGCATCTGACGAATAGAGAAGCAAGCATGCACATTTGTTTCTTCTGATTTCAATCTCAGTGCTCCTTCTATCATATAAATCATTATATAACTACCTAATCCTAACATTTTCTTCTTGAAAGTTCTATGGGGCAATAGCATCATACAATAATCATTTCCCTCTGATAATGGATCTAAAATGCTACCTATGCAGAAAATTGCTACTTCTTCAACCTAGTCCTAAATGGGCTATTGAACAGATAATCACAAATATCTATCAAACTGTTATGAAAAGAAAAAAGTCTCAGCCCAGCTAATCTTCAGATAAAAGGACACAGTCTGTCTCATAAAGCTGTCTACATCTTTATGTACGTAAGACAAACCATATGGAAAGCTGTTGAGAGCATTTGTTTACTACTTAATCATTTTCCATTACCACACATTTTATATTTATCAAATAACAAATGCAAATAGTCATTAACCACATGTAAAATTCATGTTCATAAAAAATTAGATACACTATTATATTCTGAAATAATGATTCAAATTAGGTCTAGTAAAAAATATATGAAGGAATCACATAAAAGATACTCTGGTTTTATCAAAGACAGAAATACTAAATGTTAATGGCACAAGTCTTTTTCATTTCCTTTAAAATACCCTAATTGTAAAGAGAGATGTTTTTCCCTAAGTTTCCACTGTAATACATAAAGTTACTGCATGTTTTAATTTCCTTCAATAGCAGCTAGGTTGAGGGTCTTTTCAGAAGATTCCTACCATGACCAACCCACAGCAAGCTCAGCAACAACCTGGATCACTTCCCTCTGAAGGGTCCCTGGATACCTGCTCCATCTCCTGGCCAGGAATGCTCTGATATCTCCTTGTTGTGGTGCCTGAGCTGTGTTCCTTACCCACTGTCTGTCCTTCACTCCCACTTCCTGCCTTCAGGAAAATCTTCAGAAAAGATCACTCTTGGGAAGGCCAAGAGTCGGAATTCTATCATCACTCTGGCCCTGCATACCATTTGCCACTCATTTCACCCCATCAGTTGAATTAGGGGAAATACAGCACATGGAAGAGCATGGCATGGACTGACCCGTCCATTCCTTGACAGGTACACACAGTGGTAGTTATGAAAATGGCATAAGAATTATAACAACCTACATCTGAACCTACATGGTATACAATAAATTCTACTTCCCATCTCTCACCAATAAAATGTATATCTGTTTACAGTAACCTGGTTTCTCCCATCAGTTTATTTAACTGTTATTTCATACTTTGAGAAAAAGCTGGCAATTTTCCTTGACATAATATAAGCTTAGGTAGATAAAAGGCAATGATTCAAAGTGAAAGGTTATTAAAAACATATTAACATCTTTAATTTATATTGATGACACATTTTCACTTTCAATTTATCATTTAATATGTGTACCCCAAGAACCATGTAGAACATATATTATTACTCCATTGCAGATGAGAAAATGAAGGCTGCATAAAGTAGGTTACTTGTTTATAGTAGACATTTTTAGCTAGGAAGAAGTGGAAGCAGCTTTTCCAGGCCAACCCATAGGAGTTTTGAAATCCACCCAACAGCTTTGAGGAGCTGTCCATGGTGCTGGCTATCTCTGCCTGAAGTTTCATTAGACTCAAAAGACTAGCAGTGGACTCGCTGTCTTAACACTTAATCTTTGATATCAGCCCTTTCACTTAACTTGTGCCCTGAGTGACGCTGACTGATGATTCCCTACTTCAGTGGCTCACGCCTGTAATCCCAGCATTTTGGGAGCCTGAGGCAGGAGGATTGCTTGAGCCCAGGACTTCCAAGACCAGCCTGGGCAACACAGTAAAACTCTTTCTCTAAAAAAAAACAAAAATAAATTAGTTAAACATGGTGGTGTGCACCTGTGGTTGCAGCTACTCTGGGAGCTGAGGTGGAAGAACTGCTTGAGCTCCAGAGATTGAGGCTGCAGTGAGCCATGATTGTCCCATTGCACTCCAGCCTGTTAACAAATGAGACTCAGTCCCCTGCTCCAAAAAAATAAAAACCTTTCAAGTGCCACTGACTTGACTACCATATTAAGTTTTAAGTTACAGAAAGTCACGAATAGAGGGGCCTTAAAGGTTATTAACATAATGTTCTCCCTATCACAAATCAACTTTTACTGTTACAATAATTCCCTATCTTTCATTCTGCTCAGTGATAGCAGTTTTAGCTCACATGTCAGCCCCCTCTTGTGTCTTATTCTTTGAGTACATGGTTGACCATTAAATTTGGGCTAGGAAACTCTAATCCAGTTGAACTCCCACACAATAAAGAAATATTTTCTACAAAACCCCAAATCAATTGTCATTATAAAGAGAATCATTATAGATAGACCTCTGATGTGACCTAAAACCTGTGATATTTAATGTCATTTTAAAAAGAAACAGTCACACAAGGAAACATGTAGCTGAGAGATGCCTTCATTTATAGAGAATCCTGGTAACCCTGTGTTAATCACATTTTGACCAACTCTAGACAATAAACTATCTCTCTTATCATAAGCACAAAGGCCTATATCAGACTTTCAGTCCTATATTGTTAAATACAGACTGATCTTAATTTCCCCTCTTCTGGCATTCATCAACAGCTTAGCACCACAGTAGTTGGATCACTCTATCAAATGAGATACTTGGATCCCACTGGCCATTAATAATTCAGAACTCGTCTGGATAACTCTGAGGTCAAGTCAACAATCCATTGGCTTTAACTATTTGGGGTGTGTGTGTGTGTTCAAAAAAAAAGAGAAAGGGAGAAATAGAGGGAACGGAAGGAGGAGGGAGGAGTGCCTCAATGAGAATGAGAACAAGAGAGAGCTTTTCTCTTTTCTATAAAAGCTGACATTTGAGCTACTGAGAGAGTGACTTCCCTGAATATAGCAAATGATGTTAGCAGTTGGATACTGATACTGGCCTGACTGGTTGGTTGATATAAAAATTTCTTACATAATTAGATTCCTTGGGGAAAAAGTAATATTAAAAATAACATCTATATTGTCCTCTGGGCTATTTTTCTAAGTCACAAAGAAGCTAAATATATCAAGGCCCTGAATTAAACGGTGGACTAAGTACCAACTGACTCATTCCTTAGGAGTATGGCAAACATTTTTTCTTCCGTTTCTTTATATAATGTTATTAAATTTTCCTTTTGTTTTATGTATAAGGATCAAGGTGAGGCACACAGGCTCACTGAGTCCATCTGGCCATAATGAAGAGTTTTGTTTCTCCTTACCTGGTACCATTTATTTGATGCTATTATTTTTCCAGTGAGGTGATATCTAAAATTAAGACTTCACAATAGTGAATATTTTCTGATGCCTTTTAGTATACTTTGACTAACATACTTGCCATTTGAGAAACTGTTCACCTATTTAAAAGTAAAAGGTATTTGAATCAAACAGAACAGTACATGTGAGCCAATATGTCCCCCATATCATCCAAAAAGCTACAAATAACTCCTAAAAACAACTCTCCTGTACCATCTAAAAACCTAAAAACATTGAGGATTCCAAACTTTTAATGGAACCCATTTAGTACAACATTGAGACTTTATACTTCTAATCTATTACATTTTCCATACATTCTGTATTCCAACCAAACTCATTTTCCTCTTATTCTTCACCATCTTCCTCACAAGAGGTATTCAATAAAGATTTGTTGAACTTCACTGCAATGTGGTTTTGTGAATACTAATGTTAAGATGACTAAAAGGTAGCATGAAGCAAGGCAAATAACACTGCCCACCTCACTCTGGGTGGCATTTCAAACAGCACAACTTCCAAAAAAAAAAAAAACCTCACATTTTAAATTAAAAGTCTTAATTTTAAGCCTGCAGTAGTGGGTGTCTCGTGCTATTTTTTTTCCCATATACCAAATAAGAAAAATGTCAAAGAGGGCCACCAGCCAGAGAAAGCTTAAATAAATGACCACTGTTTTCAACCCGAGGATGCTCTCTTGCTTTCCAATAGTGACTCATCCTCCCCCTAACTGTCACCTCTAGGCAGAAGACATTCCATCCTCTAGGGGTGGCTCTGATTCTTCCCAGCATTGCATTTCATTTGCTAAATGCTTAAAAGCCAACGATTGTACCTCCAACTGACATTTATAAAGGTCTCCTTGAAAATCACATCATCAGTGAAATTCAACAGACTTAAGATCAAATTTATTCATACCTCCCAAAACTGCAAGTTTATTTACCTCCTAATTTCCCTGATTTTGTTCAGCCACTATTCATCATGCAAAGCCAGGTTTCCTTACTAACCACCACGTATGCTGTTTGTCCCCTCTGCTTTGTATCTAAAACTATTTCCCTTTTCTACTCTTCAAATTCTACCAATTGCCAAAAAAGCCCACCCTGATGTCACCTTCTCCATCATCTGTTACTCCCCATCCAAGCTGGAAGTCATTGGACTTCCTTCGTACTCTTAATGAGACATCATCTGTTGGATTACCTGGAATGAACTACTTAATTGCTGAGCATATTTGCTCATCTAAATTGTAAACTGCTAATGCCAGAGATCATATATCACATGCTCTTTTATTTTAAAAAAATCTGAGACTTCAGTAATTAACATAGCGCTTGAAGAGCAAGGCAGAAAATATTTATCTCAATGAATTATTCTAAAACCAAAAATTGCATGTAAATTAAATAAGGACTCTAAACTATGAATTAGCATTGGTTCTGTTATCTCTTGAGTTTGATCTCCACCCCAAAGTATTATATCTTTGACTCTATCAACAGAAGGTAAAGAATAAGAAAATTCAATAAACTATTACAACAGGTAAAGAA